CTCTGCAGGCGACACGAACCCCTCGCTTCCAGCAAACTTCCACCGCGCCGAGACAAGGCCTCCGCTGGCGCAAACGTGGATTAAATACGTACACTACTGACGCATCGGGTGGAATGTCTAAGCGTCAGAGATGTTTGTATTGTAGAATTGTTTTTGTGAGAATACTGCTGAAATATCATCGGCTTGCCGTATGTTAATTCTTTGAGAAGTGTTTTTATTCAGGTGACTCACCCTGCTTTGCGCAAGCAGACAGGCTTCTCTGAATGAAGTGAGTTTTTCGTATAATAAATATTGGTAATTAAAGATTAAAAATGTTTTCACAAAGTACTTTATTATTCCCAACCGATCGCGCTTTTTATGGCTGAAAATAACAATAGAAGACTTGAAGTGTTCAATTATTGTTTGGTTAAGTTATGTAAATTCAAGAAATCAAGGAACAACTTTATATTTTTCTACAGATTTTTTAAAAGTCATGAATCCTTAGAATTCGTTTCATTAGAATAGTTGAAATCATATAATTTTGTCGAATTTTAATACTCTAATGAGCAAGAGAGAGCATTAATATTTAATGGAAATCAAAACACGCTCATAAATCTAGTAAGTAAAAGAAAATGTTCTTCTAGCAGTTATACTATAAATTATCATGAATTAGCATAGAAATTTTGTTTAATGAACACGACTTACTCATTCACTTCACTTCATTTACAAAAGAACTAAGTGGAAAGCTAAAATGAATTAAAACATACTCGATAATACAATGTTAAGAGTATATTTGCTCCGAGAATTTTATTCAATTTCCATTTAAACCCGTGAGGAATTAAAATTCATCTTTTGTACGAAACATATTCTTATTACGAATATCCCTGTTCCCCCGCACATTTCATATCATTCGTTCCGTCGGTTTCCGTCCCTTGTCAACAGCATGCACCATCGCCTGTGAGAGCAAACCGAATAGCATTGTCCCATTTTAGAATATGCGGCAGCGCGGAATATACCGCCCGCCCATTTGCAGGCGAAAATGCTGCGCGACACGAAGGGTTGCCGTGGGGGGAGGGGGGAGGGGAGGGAAGAGCCTGTCAAGGAGCGAAGGGAGGGAGGCATCTCTCGCCTGCGCTGGCATTGCATAATGCAAGATGGCTGCCGCGGCCCCTCCCCTCGCCCTCTCCCAGCCCGCGGCGCGGCGCGGCGCGGCGCGGCGCGGCGGCCGATTCAGAGCGAGGGCAAAGGGCGGGGAGCGGCACAAAAGGCCTGCCGCCCTTGCCGGACCGCGAGCGGCGATGGCGCAGGCAGCACTAGCGCTGGCGGCGGAGGGAGCCACGACCAGCAAATGCAAACGGAACGCCAAGAGGTTGCTTATGCGACCAGGGCAGGTGGAAACCGTAAAAATCACTAACTGAATGAAACCTAGATGGCGATGGCGGATATGAGATAGGGGCTATGAATTTCTTATGTCGGGAGTGCTGCTCTCCTGAAATATACTACATTGTAATGTTTCCTGCTTTTTCCTTTTTCTTGAAAATAAAATAGACTAATTTTAATTTTTTTCATAATATTTTTGAAGTATTAATATTTGTTTAATGTAATCACTGCACCTAGAGGATAGAAAGGCTGATAAAACAACACTCGAATAATTTGGAAAATGAAGGTTGATGGTAATATTATGAAGAATAATTTACGAAAAGTGTAAAGATGTAAACAGAAATGGAATTCCATTGATTTTGAAGAAATAAAAGCAACAACTCGTGGATGATGCAATGGGTAATTTGCATTGGAGTTGATAGATAAAAATCTGGAAGATACCAAATTTTGGATTTTATTTAAGAGACGGATAATTTTGGATAATATCAAGAGATTCAGATGAAGCGACATGTTGGCTTCTTGTAACTTCTTTTATTCAATCTAGAATATTCTCATAATCGATTTTACTATTAGTATAACAAAATGTCCATTTTCTTTATTTTATCAAATTAAT